GTTGATACGAGAGCATAGGTAACCAAGCGCAGGTGCGTACGCAGATCCCCCCCCTCACCCGGAGGGAAATCAATTTGGGATGCATTTCCTCGTGCCTCCCGGGGAGGAAGGACCCCACGGGGAGCATCGCTTTTTGCTTGTTGAGGGTGTCCAGGGGCAACGCCGACCCGCAGTTTTTGTGTGACCAAGCAGGAGGGAAAACACGGCCCAGAGAGGATTAGGGGTAAAAAAAAAAAGAAAAGGGGGGGGGGGGGGGGGGAGACGCACACGCACATTGCAGAGAGAACGGTCAACGCGTCATAGAGGCAGGAGAAGGCGCAGACGGAGGCGATCAGCGCGATGAAAAGAGAGGTGGAGGGAAGGCGAAGGAGCCATGTTTGCCCTGTCCTGCCACCCCAACAGCGACGTTTCACGTTCGATGAAAACCGACCGCGCAGTCCGCGATAGAATTGGGTCCGAGTAGTAGGGTGTGGAGTGTAGAGGCATAACATGCACAACCATGCGTGCTCTTCGTTGTCTCGTCTGAGCACGCCATTGACTCCCCCACTTCTCGTTGGACACAAGCGCGCCCGTGACGACTTTGCTCCCTCCCTACACACGACACACTAGACCCGGAGTCCAGGGACCGGAACACGAACTCGAGACTAACTAAAACCGAGCGGAAGGAGGTGGATTGACGGCATGTACCGGTAGTTGGCGTAGACGTGGAGCAGCGAGAAGAAGACGAAGATTAAGACCCTCCCGGTGGGGGCATCGCTCAGATAGGACGCCACTTTTACTCCCAGCAGCTTTTGGACGGGAAGGAACAAGGGACGGCAGGAGAAGATAGCGCCGTATTGGTTTCCCGCGAAACGACTCCACATCACAAGCAGCTATCATCGTAACTTTCCGTGAGAAGAAACAACGAATTCCCCAAGTAGTGGCCGCCTTCCGTCAAAAAGGGAGAAATGTCGCAGGTTTTTGATCGAAATAAGCGCGCAACGAAGCATCTTCGGAAAGCTCCCACGCCGACAGTTCGTCCGACACCAACAAGCTGTTGGTCATCAGCAACAACAAAAACGACACAAAACAGAACGCTAGAAAGAGCTGCACCAACATTGAAGCTACAGCACTTGCTTAGAGCGTGGGGTGCAATGCGGAGCAGCCTATTTTTGCCAGCAATATTACTCGTGACGCCCACGGACGTACACAGACATGATGCAGCGGGGAGTAAGGAAAACTTACCATTCCGCACACGTTCACGGCCGTCTCCTGCGCGTTTTCTTTCGCAGAAATGTCGGCCATGTTCTGTTTCAGGGCGAAGTGACTGGTGATCGACGTCTTTGTGCAACCTGCCGCGACCCCACACAACGCCTGCGGCCCACAAAAGCACGTCACATGGCGGCATAACAACACGATGCCCAGCCAACGCGTCCGGGGAAGAGGGTTAAGAGGATCGTCAGATAACAAAAAGCGAGGAATGTTCGCTTGTTTGCACATCGAACTGAAATGAAATTGTCTACGTACAGTCCGAAAACGTCAAGTGTACACATGAGATCAAGGGTGCCCGACGCTCGTCCTAGCTAAACGCGCTGCAGGTGTACAGAGGCCGTGAAAAAGGGAGTGTGTTCAGGGCCGCCACTTCAAAAGGAAGGGCCTCAAGGCAACATACGCTCCTGTTTCGTCGCTCCGAACAACGACCAGAAAAACATGCACCACGTCCTTTCTTGCCTTAAAAACGGTAGCCAGCGACGACACCACGGCGAAGTTGCCCCTGAACACAGGCGCCACGAGGTCCAGCGTGAGGCCGACGTCGTTGGCGATGTCGGCGAACAGCCGCCACTCCTTGATGTTGCTGTCCATGTGGGAAGACGCCGCGTACGAGAAAAGCAGGCTCCCGATCATCCCGAAACCGTCCCTCAGGACCCAAACCATCGCCGCAGCGATGGCGGAAGCGTTCTCTGGCGGGAGCAGAGGGACGAAGCCGAGGCAGCAATTGAGCGGGTCTCGAGACGAGATGGCGTATGCAAAAAACAACGAAAGAGTCAAGACCCAGGAGGGAAGGTGCGGCCACTCGGCATGTCACGGGGATTCCATCGTGGTGAACGTGATGCTGCTGGTAACGGCGGCGGCGGGGTTTCGGGGGCGGGGCGGGACGATCGGCCAGGCCCGCTTTCGCGCAATGACCCCCTCCACCGCGCGCCCGAGACCGTCGCCACACACGTGTTGTGCAGAGCAAGCCCACCTAACAGCGAGCGAAAGTAACGCAGACTTAAGCTTGATTTGGGCATGCAGGTTTGGTGCAGGAGAGACACCGATTTGCTCCGGGTGGATCAAAACGAGAGAGAAGGATAGTGTGCCTCAACAAAGCATCCCTTTCGCGCCAACAAGATCGCGCAGAATGGTACCAGTCTTGATTACATCACCTACATGCGAGCAAACGATGCAAAAAAAATCAACTCACCATCTCCGACACCTGAGGCGTGAAGCATGGCGGTCAGACACAGCACGCCGCGGAGGTAGCTGCAGAGAGCCTGCATAACAGCAGCAACACGCAACAACAACAACAACAAAAAAACAACAACATATTGAGCACCTTTGCGAGATCTCGACAGCAGCCGTACGATATTCTCGGGAGTTCTTGCCAACGTACACGTCCTTGTTCTTGAATGCACATTCTGCAAGTCGCACCGACTAAAAATCTCCGACACAGCGGCTGCCCGCAGCAGACGCCGCGCCAAAATAGGCCAGGATCTGCAATTCTGCCAGGTTTACATAGGTCACTAGGCCAATACGCTACTCACCTTCCCGAGAAAGTCATGGCCTGCGGTTAGGAGGACAAAGTATGTATTGGACACCAACAGAAAAAAGGACAGCGCTCTACCGCAGAACAGCGAAAAAAACCATGTATGCTACGCAACAACCGCGATTCCACACCTGAACGGTGTCCCAGGTCTGGTACTCCATGTACTCCTTCCGCACGGAGGACGGGTACCCGGTGGGGAGAAAAGTACGCCTGCGAACGCAAGGATACAAATTGAATGGCCACCCCAGACGGCAGGTGGAAGTCTCACCCGAAACAGAAAAATACGCACACGGTGGAGGCTACTGCTGTACGTACCGTCGGAGCTCCGGAAGGGCTGACAACGCGTGCCTTGCCCAAAAGGGTCTTAACACGGCACTGTTGCCAAAAGACATTAAATGGCGCTGAACGTGTCGCAACACTTGCGTATTCCCCCACAAAAGGACAGGTTTCGCCAGGATACAAAGTGCGTTTTTGGTGGAATATTATGTGGAACGGTCCGGCAGATAATGACACAGCAGTTGAAGGTAGTGCTGCTGACATATGCTTCCAGACAGCAGGGTGTACACATCGCAGTGCACCAACACACACACACGATAGAATCGAAAGCAAACAAATGGAGGTCCGTGTAAATGTAGGAGGGGTTTTACACGTAACGAACGCGACTGACTCGACCCAGAAAGTTGGACGCTCTTAGCATCAACATATAGAGGTAGTAGACCAACCTCGCCTATATACAGGCACACACACGGCCGGAATCCCCACCTGACGAAGGCCGACATACTCGGCTGGAATCTCTTGACTCGGTTCCAGCTGTTCTGGGGCACAAGACCTTCATCTGTGTGAAGCGCGCAACAAACGAACGAAAACCGAACGCGGTGCATCAAGTCGGCATGCGACACATGTTGTCGCATAGACTACGGCTTCTAGCACCTGAAAGAGGACGTTGGGGACCTTGACCTTGTTGTTTACCACCAACCACAGCGCAAAATAGACAAAACGGCAATCTCTAGGTTCAGCGGATGACCGGGGAGGGGAGCTTCAAAACTTGCACCTTCTTTCGCCCACCTGTGCTGAGCCGAAGACTCCGGGCCCAAACGTGAAGGGGAAGAGGGGGCGACATTTTAAATTATTAGACTTCGTTCTCGCTGTCTTACTTCACAGAGCCTTGTTGTCCATCGGGCGCGCGTGGTACAAACAAAGCCTGACAGCGAATTCCGGAGTAAAATATCTGCATACCTTGGCCAAGTACACGGTAGCTCACGACCGGCCTACGGCTGTCCGGGCGTGACGAGTCGAACTCAACGGCGACTACCTGTGGGTGCGGAGCGGACAAGCGGCCGGAAACAACAAATGCATTGATTGTTGCGTGCTTCGTATGGCAGTGGGGAGAAGAAACTCGGGATTGAGCCTTTTTCCAGCAGCATCTTCACACGAAAAGCTATGCAGTAGTGCCCATCAACGATGGATATACTGTAGATACCTGCGGCGGCGCGGAGAGAACCCCGCTCCTGGTCCGTCTCCTGGGACCGCTCATGCCGCCGCCGCCCGGTAGGATGTTGTTTGGACAGATGATTGCAGTGGCTTGATCTGGCCCCTCACAGCAGTATCCTTCCCTGTACCGCGTAACCGCCGATCACGTTGACCGGAGTTTCAACAGTGGCTAGCAGAAGCAAGTCCCTGCCAGCAGCAGCAAGCTCAACGTCAACCTCAGTGTCTGCTTGTGAACAGGAGGTCGGGCCTTATATGTGGTGGGTGTGTTGTGTGTTGTAGCAAAATTCTCTCCCTGGGGGATTTTTTGACGACGCTACACACTGATCCTCTGAAGAAATGCAAAGGGGAGCTGGTGAAGAATGTAGTTCGTCGCTGCTGCTGTCGAGTGGGATAGGCAAGCGTCGCAGGATGATCAGTAAGCTTCCAGCTCATGCATCCAAAGGGGCCCAACCAGTGAGCATACACGGGTACCTCGCTTGGTTCTGCGCTGATGCGTTGCCCCCCAGTGCGAGACAAACGGAGCTCGCTGCAGCAGGAGTGGAAAACGCGCCGCGTTCACACCACAGCAGTCGCGATGGTGGCAACAAGGTCGCAGACGGGATCCGTCCCGTCGTCTTCCAGCGCGAGAAAGTACTCTGTGATCCTGCCCACTTATAATGAGAGAGACAATCTGCCGCTGACGACCTGGATGCTCGTACGAACCTTCCAAGAACAGTGAGTTTTTTCACAGAAGTCTTACCGTCTTGGACTATCCCCCTACTCTAACTTCAACACTTCGTGAAAGGGCCAGTGCGGCCGATCCGTTACCTGTCCGACGAAGGGTGAAGCCATGCATCATTTGCCAGCGTGTTTGATTCGGCCTTGACGTTGTGCTGTATTTGCATGCTTCATTCCAGCCCTGCTGTGCACTCCTCGTGTACTTCGGTAGCCCATACACCTCCCCGCCGCCGTACACATACAGCCTTTGCCACTGATGAGCAACAGTTTGTACTCCCCGCTTTACTGCTGTAAGTTGGTATTCTAGCGTAAATGAACCTTGCAGCGTCTCTGTAACTGGTGCTCTTGCAGGTATGTATTCCTATCGGTAGTACCGATGTGCGACTCGTTTTGTCCACCGCTCACATTCCGATAATCTGTCGGCGGGTGCTGTGAACACGGTGGTGCCATGCACACGAATGAAACGCAAACCCCGCACCGCTTGCGTAATGCATGTACGTCCTGGTTGTCCTGGCCCTACACAGCGACTTGGACTTCGAGATCGTGGTGGTCGACGATAGCAGCCCGGACGGAACACTGGCTGTGGCGAAGATGCTGCAGGTGAGACTATGCTGCACCGGTACAGCTCTTGTTTTTTTTCTTTTCCGTCCAATCTGAGTGGAGACGGAACAGGTTTTTTTACGTGAAATGAGCAACAACAACAATTCTGGGCGCCAGCGTAGTATTGTGGTGTAGTTTGGACGCACCAGCCGGGGTTACTTCCAAATTGGTAAAGAATTTTCGCTTGTTGCACCCCCTCTTCCATAGCGTCTACATATAGGGTACGGACTTTCCGTCTCCATGTATGATAAAGAAGAGTTGAAGTGGGTTCTCCGCGAAGTGTGCATCGATGACTAACTACTGTCCGCCTCTGTTTTGCCAAAAGCCTCACCAAGCCTCCAAGTGTGTCCGTGCTATTGTAGTATATCCAACGATCGGCCTGTTTAGCTCTATAGCTACTAATGTACGGTTCCTGGGCTTGCGTGTTTATGTTATCCCTGTCAGGGTCTTTACGGGAAGGAGGTTGTGAGGATTCTCTCTCGGCCTGGCAAAATGGGCCTGGGAACCGCCTACATGGACGGGCTGCGGATGATAACGGGGACGCACGTGATTCTCATGGACGCTGACATGTCGCACCACCCCAAGTGAGCCAGCCCACAGGATGCCGATAGGCGTATATACATCGTGCGGCGCGGGGCGCGTATGAGGGCAGGTTCTTCCTTCGCATTTTGCTACTGCTGTGTAGATGCACCTTTTTCTTTGTTGCAGCGAAAGACAGCCTTTCTGCCGCGTGGCTTCGCCACCCATGCATTCTCATATGCATACAACAGGACTCACTTGTTTTCGTCCGAGGTGGTATTTGTTTGGGGCTGTTTCTGAACGCAGCAACCTTCAATGGCACAGTACGTACAAGCCTGTTCCCTGACACGCAAAATATTCCGTCTTGTGCTCGTTGTGTGCTCAGGTACATTCCTGATTTGGTACAGAAAATGGAAGAAGGGGACCACGACGTCGTGAGCGGGACTCGGTACGGCTTGGGCGGAGGGGTGAGCACGAACCGAGCCCAACCATCGTTCGCCGCCCCGTTCCTGTTACAGGCCACGCGATCCCCTACCACCGCGTTCTTCCCTTTGCGAGCTTCTCCTTCTCTCTCGTGATAGATGCACAAGCGCTGAGTGCGTGTGCCGCAACATGACAGAAGCCTACGATTTTGAAGGGTGTAGCGAAGGGCTACGCGGGTGAAGCAAGGCAGTGGTCACCTAACCTGCCTGGGGGCACGTTCGAAACCCCCTTTGATGTTGCACGGAGAACGTGGGCAGGGCGGGTTAGCTTTGCTGCCAAGCGCCTGAGACCCTCGTCCTTTCGTTTGAAGCTGGGCTAGCCTCGTTATCCTCGACCCGCTCTTCGTGGCTTCGCAATCTTGCCCTCTCACCCACGACCGTTCACGACACGCAACTCTTGCTCAGGTGGCAGGGTGGGACTTGTTCCGAAAGCTGACCAGTCGCGTGGCGAACTTCTTGGCGCACACGTTGCTCTCGCCGGGCGTGACGGATCTCACGGGATCGTATAGGCTCTTCACCAAGGCGGCTCTGGAGGATATCATGAAGGAGGTCACCAGCAAAGGTGCGCTTGTGTGTTTAGCCGGACGGTGGCAAGTTGTCTTGCTGTGCTGAAGCTGTTGCGCAACCATATAATAGTATCCATGTTTGCGGCAAACGCCCACATTCTACCCTCAAGGACGTGGGCGGGTCAAGATTGTCCATTTGTATGAACCTGACACGCGAATGTCGCCTGTAAGAAAGGACGCCTTTTTTTGTTGTGATGTTGTGTGCCGTGCTCTCGGTGCGCTGCACGATACTCTGGAAAACACGCTCAAGGGGGGCGTTTAGATCTCGCAAATGCATATCGTGTCAAAACAAGCCAATGCATGTTCTGTCAAAGCTTATGTGTAACCCCATTGCCCTTTTTCTCTCCGTCAAAGGGTACGTTTTCCAGATGGAGGTAATCGTGCGGGCGAGACTGAAGGGCTACAGCGTGGGCGAGGTGCCCATCACGTTCGTGGACCGAATCTACGGAGAATCGAAACTGGGGTCGGGGGAGATCGTGTCCTACTTGATAGGCCTTGTTAACCTGTTCCTAACCACGTGAAAAAGGCCGCTTTGCGTTTTCTTCAAGCTTAGCAATGACCGGAGTGCTTACCTGGCAGAGGATGTGACGGTAGTTGCGTAAGCCCGGCGGTTGAGTGCCGGCATTTTCATAGAGATATTCACCTGTCGTAGTTTTGCGGGTGCATCATCTGGTGCCGGAATGTCGTCTGGCGTTTCCACGACACAGAAGTAGTGGTGACGATGACAACTACCTTCCGGTGGCTGTTTCTTTTCTGTTGAACATTCCGTGTTGTCGTGAAACTACATAGACTGTTGTAGGCGTGTTGTACTTCTTTGTTTTATGGTCAATGTTTGTGGTGTTGTGGAGGGGAAATGGTAAATGGCCGTGTCATTTTTGACAGCTCCGGCCCACTCGTGGCAAACACTCATTTTGAGCGAGGTTTGGAGCCTGACTGTTCCTATGTTTCGATGATTGAGCACGGGAGATTGCGAAGCTACGATACGCTTCTAAGATGTAGTGTAGTGCCGGCAGCTGAGCTTATTTCACGCCATTCTCCTTACTCTTGGTTTTCAAAAATGAAATGAACCTGTATTTTGCCTCTATGCTTCATGGGCCGGCACTCTGGTGGTGGTGTATAATCTAAATTGGGTGTGTGATGCACACCGTTCTAGGGTAAGAAACGCGTGCTGCAGGAATGCTGCAGAGTTCGGCCTTTTCCCTAAGGTGTACTTCTGCATGCTGCAGCAGTAGGCACCCGCTGACAAGGGTAAGAAACGCGTGCTGCAGAGTTCGGCCTTTTCCCCAAGGTGTACTTCTGCATGCTGCAGCAGTAGGCACCCGCTGACAAGGGTAAGAAACGCGTGCTGCAGAGTTCGGCCTTTTCCCTATAAGGTGTACTTCTGCATGCTGCAGCAGTAGGCACCCGCTGACAAGAAACGTCAACAGGCTCAGTTTCTTGCCATCGCTGCCCCCGTCAAGCATGCCATTACTTACCGTAGTTTACATTGAATTAGTGTAGGGTCCACCGCCGAGGTGTTTGTTTCTGAGCACTCTTCTCGTATTTTTCGTGGAAAATTGAGCCCCTGTTTCTTCACGGCAAAATTGAACCATTCTGCGCAATTTTGTCATGTCGTGTTTGGAAATCGACACGAGGCAGGAGAGAAAAACACGGAGAACCAACCTGGGTCGCAGAACTCTTACATGATCAGCCGGTGTGGTAGTAAAAGGCGTTTTTCGCAGAACCCTGAGAACCCGGAAATTCCTCCGCTTCGCCCCAGCTCTCCCCACCAGCTGTAGGTCACCTGTCATACGGCCCGCCGCCACGCTGGTCTGACGCCAGTAGGCTACATCTTTACATGGTAGCTGGACGTCGGTTGACAAGAGTGGCCTGGCACGTGGCCTGGTCGGTGCTACTGAGCTGCTGCTGGTGCTGCCACTGCTTCGCTATCCACACCGCCTCCAGTGCAACATGTTCGCCATGGTTGCAACACGGCAGCAGCAGCAGCAGCAGCCTGAACGTCGGGATGACGGGGCATGCTCCTCGCAGCAGGCGAGATAGATGGGCCTGCTGCTGCTCCCAGCACGGGTCGAGTGGTAGTGGTCGTGCTCGAGAAGCGGTGGAAATGGGCGTGGAAGGGGCGCCGGGGACAACGGCGTCTGCACCAGCCGGTGCAGCACTGGTGCTCTCGAGGCCCATCGACGAGGTTGTCTTGCCGCCTGGGCGAGGACTGAGGGTGCATAGCTTGTCAGACCTGCACACCGACAGCAAGGACAACCTGGCTTGGTGAGATTTCACTGCGCTGAACGAATGGCGGTTTCGTGCAGAGTGGCTTGCAGCTGTCTCATTGCACTCACACATACACACACACGGCCCCCACAATATCCTAAGAAGCGGTCATCTTGCTGCTGCCTGAGGTATACGCTTCGCCCTCCGCCCCTGGCGATCTCGGATGATGAGCAGCGGACTTAAGACCGAGCTTTTGATTGATTTTCTGTGAACCGTGCCTACACATGTGTGCGCACTTGCTTGCTACTTTTTGTACCAATCAGTTATTGCTGCATGTCTTCAAACCGTTCGTCACATATATGTCCAGACATCCTGGGACCGTGCCTGCAAGCAGCAGACCTCTTGACAGCAGTTGTGATTCTTCCCTCCAACCGCAGTAGCCTGAACACTGGCTACCTCCACACCCCCAACTGACATTGCGGTATCCCCTGCGTAGATTCCCGACAACTCGTTTCGTACGCCCGCCCTTGTTCTACATCCCGGACGCGCGTATGTACGCCAAAGCTGGCGACTTTCTTGCACTCGCCAGTTCTACAGTTTTGGGGTTTGTGGTTATAAACCAAAGCCAGGTTTCCCACCTCAGGCTACACCACGGCGCTAGGTCTCACAAGGCCTAACCCACCCCTACACCCTAACCCCAACCCTAACCCACACCCACACCCCAAGCAAGGTTGTTGTGCAATGGGTAGGCCGAAGTCGCTGTACCGAGCTACGGGAGCGCGCTTCGCGCTCGCCAGCTCTGGCGTACAGGTATACGCCTCGTCCTACATCCCAGAACCACAAAACAGCCCACTCGCCCCCCCCCCCCCCCGCGTCGTCCACCACCGCCCAAAGGGAAGTGGAGGGGAAAATCTTGGGGGAACTGGAAGGGGGAACGGGAACGGGACCTGGGGGAAGGGCCCCAAGAAGTCCTTTTCGTTGCCGGGGAAATTTTTTCCTCCCCCCAAAGAACCCCCCAAAATCTGGAGTGGCCCCTGGAGCGGGACCAAGAAGGGAGTGGAATCTCTCCACGGGGGGAGGGAAGGGGCCGGTACTGGTGTAACGGAATCAGCGCGCGCTGTTTGTAAAAGGACACTCCTGGGGTGGGGAAACCCTGGTTCCAGCACGAATGGCGCGAAAAAAATTGTGGGCGCTTATGGGTTCCGGAGGGCATCCACAGTAACGAAAAAAAAAAAAAAGGCCGGCAAGGGGGGGGGAAGGGGCAGGGGGGAAACCATGGGGTCCAAACTTTCTGAAACGTGGGTATTTGCCGCTTCTTTCCTGGGTGGCAACCCATAACACCCACACCACTCCTGGTATGGGGTGGAAACCAAAAAACTGGTGTGGGGT